ACATTACATTACATTACATTACATTACATTACATTACATTACATTACTACATTGCCTACTCGCATACAATACATACATACATACATACATACATACATGCCTTGCCTTGCTTTGCATTGCATTGCATTGCATTGCATTACGTTTACACATATTGCGGTACAATCCTTTCATTTAGAAGCCTCACCGAACCACCCATCCACATCTCATCTCACTCAAACTTCGGTGCATTGCTTTCTGGTCCCACGTTCACCGAGCACCGCCTCTCTGGGCACCCCAGCTGGCCACTGGGGCTACGGAGACCCGCCACGCATGCAAGAGCTTGATGGCCTGGAGAAGAAGCTATGAGCAACAAGTGACAGTGACAAGTGCATTACTACTAGTAGCTTCTTGTTACTAGTAGTATTGCCCTGGCTACTAGAAGCCATACACTTGTTACTAGTAACAGGAAGCTACTATATAGTAGCAAAGAGCTTGGTGGCCTGGAGAGATATGGAAGGGAACATCTCGGAGTTGCTCCAGAGCCGGAAGTTTACTATGTTCACTCCAATGCAGCTGAAAGATTGAAACTCGGTGTGGAACAGTGTTCAATACTCCGCAAAACCACTTCATGTGATCCTACACCTTGCAACCACTAGAGGGGAAACAAATGGAACAAGGGCAACCTGCTGAGTGCCTGAGCGAAACTTGTTCGTAGCCCCCATGTGCAAGCAAGCATCTCACAAACACAAACATCTCATCTCCGTTTCAACCCTTCCCAGCACCCCATCGTCCAAACTGGACGACCAAATCGCTCCGACTGTCAGTTAACAGTCAAGAGGCGGTGTCGGCCGGGCGGGCCCATCTGGGTATTGAATCCGGGACCACACATGTGAGTGAACATGCTTGGCCAATGTTGTTGGTTGCTAGCTCCCAGAATTATGTTTGACGTCGTCATCCGCCGGCCAATGTTGAACGAGTCTCTGTTATATACTTATTATGGATATATATATATTTATATAATGCATATATATATATATATTTACTTATAAAGTATATATATATTATAAAGAGAGAGCGAGAGAGAACCTTTTAGAGTAGGACAATCATGATCATGAGCAACGCAACAAACTAACAGTTCCGCAGCGGCCCATGCATCGACAAACCAGCTCAATTCTTGCAAAGGGATTTGCCTCTGCAGTGCTCATTCGCAAGCAGTAGAGCTGTTCAGAGAGCTGGCACCTACGGTCAAACCGGTTCGCAGCCCCAAGTGGGATGGCATGAATGAAGCCAGGGAGAGGTCCTCTTTCAGGTTGCTCTTCAACTGCAGTCGGGACCATCCAAGGGGTCACAAATCAACGAATTACCCGACCCTATCAATATTAAAGTACGTATATCCAAGTAAATCCCACTGGACACCACCAACGGATGGTTCTGAGGTCCTGGAGCCATCATGGTGTGGACTTAAAGCCTCTTACACTCCCTGGAACTAACATGGAAGTGGAGAACGGCCCCTTGGAAGAGCATTTTCCACTACAAACAGGTGGTTTTCCTAGTTCCAGGGAGAGTAGAAACGGTTTCGAACAGCCAACCAAGCCTGCTCTACAGTTCTACCCCCCAAATCCAGTACAACACGTGCACCTCCTCGTCTCGCACAAGACATCGGACCCAAGAGTTCCAGCCAGCCCCAGTCATGTCTCAAGGTCGCCCTGGTCGCCTACCCAAGGAGCCAGGTGTCCGAAGCTCAAGGTCTGCAAAGGCGCTCCGCAAGACGCTCAGCCGCAAGAGCACCTGACGGAGCCCATCGGTGCCCATCGGTGCCCAGATGCTTTGAGATGCGTCGAGATCGGGAAATGTCGTTCCGAAGGTCTCAACTTCTTTTCACTGTTCACCGCACCTGGGAGCCTGGGACTGTTCGTTCCAAATCTTTTTCCTGGAGCGCGTCGGTCAAGAGCACCTCTTCTCGAGCCTCGATGGCATTCATAAGCCGTTGGACCTCGACATCAGGGAGTTCCAGGGTGATTTGGCCGTCGGTATGCAGCTTCTTGTCGCACGAGTGGATCCATCTACACTTCTCACCGACGTTAAATGCATCCCCCGAGACTGCCTTAGAAAGCCTCAGAAGCAAAGCATTCCAAGTTACTTGGCCCTATGATGCAACATGATCTAAAACAATCTAAGAGCCTGCAAACTCCGCTTAGTGTAAATTCACACGGCTTCGCAAAACTACAGTCCTTTAATCGTCCCTTTAGGAAAACAAACATGCCACTGTGGATTTGATACCAGCGCAGGGCACATATTAAGCCCATAATGATCCCACAATGCTGTATGCAATTTCGACTGGTGACGGGTCTTCGCGTGTTTATCAAAAACATTGAGTCTGCTGTAACGGAACTTGCTGAACTAGTCGATCTCATTTTGGAAGGAGAACATCCTGACCATAGCCAGCCTAAAAACGTCTGACAGCGTGGTTGATAGTTCTTGCTCAATGCTGAAACTTCACAGATCTGAACTCACAAACGAACTCAAATCCGACAAAACTTGGAAAAGTTAAACAATGTCTGCCAGGCAAAAAAATAACACACGATCAAGAGACAACTATCCTTGAAACGGCAACAATTTCACACTCTTGAATTGAAACAGCATGTACGATGAAATACGATGAACCAGCTTAGAGGAATCGCAACAACATGAGTTCACTCATGAGTTCCATGACCTTATTCACCACACCCTGGGGCCTTTCCAGGCCTGGGGCCTGGAACCAGCTGGGAGGCCCCGCCAAGGCTCTGCCACGCACCAAAGACTGAACCTGCCAAAGCGAGCTGCCGCTCGATGCGCGAGCACATTCGCGCTCCTTCCCCGACTCCCCAACACTCCCGGCTGAGACGTGTTGTCAGATGGTTGTCATCGCCTCAGAACCGACCTTATTGCCGAACACAGGGCTTCCCTGTAAGCACAAAGGAACCCAGGCAAGCTGCAAAACATGAGGCTGCAAAGAAGAACGAAACAGAAAGCCAGGCGACGCCCAAAAATGCAAATCGCACCTCTTTGAGCAAAACATCGCTCTGATACTTCCCAGAGCAGTAGCGCTTCAAGTAAAGCTGCCTCACAAAGGTGATGATGTGGTAAAATCCGCCCAGTGCAAGCAATCACGAGCTACTCTTGTGACGAGTTCTGCATGGTGCCTAAAATTGGATTCATGGGTGAAAAGGTCACAAATTTGCACTAGCTGCGCAAGCCTATCGTGAATAAATAGGAAAGCAGTGTCAGTTTCCTCATGTTTCCTCTTTTCAAGGGTCTTTGCAACCCAGCTTGTCATGTTGCTGCGCCTCACATAACTGTGCCAAACGATTGTGATATGACCCGAAAAAGAAAACCAACGCATAGCACTCGCCCGACATTTACAGGCTATGTGTTGCGTCAAGTCCGGACGTATCTTGAAAAAGAGTTCTCGGATTGCTCTCAGGCGTCTAGGACTTGCCCATCCAATGCGTCGACAGGACTTGCTGCGCCGAAGAGGTTCCATGTGGTTGGCCGGCCATGGACGAGCTGCGCTGGCCATGACTGTTCCCCGACGTTTCACGGCCTGTGGACCTCTGGGATGCTGTAGTGGTCCCAAAGCCGCTTCAATTGTTCGGTCAACCTGGGCTGGATGTGGCAGGTAGCAAAGTATGACCGACCAGGTGATGAACTCCGAGCTGGATATAGAATATGATGGAAGAGAAAAGACACCCAGCCCAGCCCGGCCCGGATTTTTGTGGTTCACAAAGGTCTTTCAACTTTACTGTACACGGTTGCAAGCCAGGAGGTCAACAACCCAAAATGACAAACCAACCTGCGTTGCGAAGCATGTCCCCTTATTAACTTATTTATACTTATTTAAAAAACACGGTCGATGTTCCTTGAACTTTGTTGCGTTCGCACATAACAAGTAGAGGTAAAAAAGACGTTACTTTCGACTCCGAGGCTCTAAAACCTCAAGTCGCTGAACCGTCTATAAAATCACTACTCCTGACCCCCTTTTTAGGAATACCATATTTAGATGCCGACACATGCTAACACCAGTCGGTCTATAAAATCGGGGCCCGAGCCCCCCTGAAGCACATACAATACCAAAATCACCATATATGCCGGGTTCACACCGATTTCATCGAGGATATTGCTACAAACGTGCTGCAACTCTCGTCCCTCTGACTTCTCGTCCCCCTGGGCTCTCACTCGCTGGCACTCAGGGCCGGCCGTTTCCGCGCCTCAAGGGTCACGGAGGAATCCGTAAGCCGTGCTGCGAGCACTGAAAACACCTGGAAGCCATGACTGGTCCTGTTCCTGGGTCCACGACTGGTCAAGTCAGCTTACTTTGTGGGAAGCCCAAGTTGTCGGCTTCGCTTGAGGCACCGGCAGTGCGGACAGCTTTCAGCCCAGTCATGAAACCCCTGAAGCTGCGAGCTGCACGGGGAACTGGGCCACTCCAGGGTCTTCAGTTCTGAGCAAAGCATGTTCTCGGGTCGGGGTGGTGGAGTGACCTAGACCTGTTTGATTTGCTTCTCCTTTGGCTTTCAGCGGATTCGGTTTAGAGAGAAAGGAATGGTAGGTCACTGTGATTTCCAGTGTCCCATTGGTCTGTTCCTATATGCTACTAGCTTCTGCAATACATGTGGTGGCCTTCCATACTCCAATGCAACTCACTTCTAGGTCCAGTTGTCTAGATCCCTACTGTCCTGTGCTACGTTTGTCTCCCTATATTCTACTTTCGTCATGCCAAAAACCTGCTTGAAATCAGTGTCCTGATTGTTCTATATAGATCCCCTTTGTAAGTCTTGTCTCCGGATCTTTTGAGTGCCTTTGAAATATGTGGCAGGTGCTATAGGCTATATACAAATCTGTTTCTCCTGATGTAAGTTTTCCTCGTGCTACCTCCCTTTTCCCTACGTTTCCACTCCACTTCTCCACGTGTAGCAAGTGCATTGAGTCCATGTCCACCTGTTCCTCGAGTTGTCCTTCCCTATAAGAGCCAGGAGACTGGCATCTCAACACATCGATCTGCAATTATCTGCACACTGTGACAATGTGTGTGTTTTCAAAACTAGGGGAACCCTCAACAATTGGTGACCTTCAGGTCAGATGTTCCTTCGACCTGATCCAAGATCCGAATCTCTGGCCGCTTCGACGCTTCGACGCTTATCTCAGAATGTTATGACCGAAGGCTTTTGGCACCCAGATGTGGGATTTGGCACTCAAATGTGGGATGGTCAAAAACCAACATTACAAACCACACTGTTTTGTACCGTTTGCTTGGCTTTGGTCTTGTTGCCAAAGCATGGAATAAGTACGTGTGAGAGTGAACCCAGGGAACTGGCATCCTACGCAGTTGCAGGTGGGAACCTCAACATATCAAGATTTGCCCAGTTCCCATACCCAAACAACACTCAAATCATAGGCAATTGATCGTTTCATGATATGAACCCTAGTCTGACTTTGTGTTCTTAGGCTGAACCAATATGTCCCTTATCCTACGGGTCTGGCTGGAGGTCTCCATATATTTCAACACACCCCACGTCTTTACCGACACCAGCCTTACCTCTTCCCACCTTTGGCCAGGCAACCTGCCATGGCACCCAGCACCGCTGCCGTGCAAGCGGAGCCCACTGCTGCGGTGCATGGCGCACTCTGCGTGACTCCTGTGTTTTGTCTCGGCCAGGTCGGGTAGCAGCCCACCGGCCCCACCTGAGAATATCAAAAACAAGGATTGTCCAACATTCGGAAACAAACGCGGTGTCTTGGTGCGCTGTTCTTGAACACAGCTGCATGTTTGTGGGTGCATGTCTCAAGATCTGACCCCAAAAACCCAACGATGCTACCTCGTCGTCGGGAGTTGAGGCCACTAATCTGGCACAAGCTGCCCCAGGCCCTGAAGCCTCCTGAAGACCACACAAAAGCCGGAGGAAAACTCCTTGAGAGGCTTGAGAGGGCATTCAGCTACTGTACCAAACTGACCTGTTCAATGCCCGGCAGCATTGTGTACAAGGGATGGGGTTCTAGGAGCTGAGCAACATTCAGCAGTTTACAAAAGATACCCTCAACGTCAGTCACGTGCAGTCTAAGTACTCGTGAACATCTGTGAACATTGGTTGTCTATCTTTGCTGAGCCTAAAGCTCCTTCACACACACAGCCCCAGCCCAGCGGGGCGCTACCGATGGTAAGCCGCCTCGGCAGTGCATTGGACGCCCATGGGGACAGGATTGTTCAAGGGCCTATATATATCTAAAGAGCGGATTGTATAGGAACACATTGACAGTCCTACGGACATACTATGGGTCTGCTGAGTGGCAATTTCCTGCAGGTGCGAAAGTGAAAGTTGTGGATCCCTCTACAGCTCTCCTTTCAGGTGTCCAAGGCTCTTTTTGATTGTATTGGGTTGTGTGCATCCGGACAATTAGATACCTGCCAAACATGTTTTAAGAAGAAACTAGCTGAGCGGGAGCGGCTCCTCCCAACGGCAAATTGTCTGCTCTACAATTCGGTCGTGTTCTCAATCTGTGGGCTAGGCTTGTTGGCTTTCTTCAGCTGCAGTGACTACTCATAACAAATTGAGTTCCTATAACAGCACCATCGTGCAGCACAAGAACCCCGTGACAGACAGCTCTGCCGGCTCTGCCTCTCTCAGGGCGCAAAAAAAAGTGCTTCTTCTGCTAAAAACTGGCTGCTTTTCCTCAGAGCTGCGACTGAAGGCCCCAATCCGCGGGACCTTGTCCCTCATGGGCTTCTCAGTATCCATTAATGTGAGTTCCCGGCAGGCTGAAACATTCACATAGCACAAACCAATCTCTCACGTTGATCAGGTGAAATGCCGGAGACCTAACACACAATGGAAGCCGAGGCTGTGCAAGGCAACGAAGTGTTGCGATACGGAGGGTGAGAACACCAGGCTCCCAAAGCTTGTTCAAATCAAAGCCTTCCTGCAAAGGAGAATCCGGAATTGAATTCTGGCCCTCCGAATGATTCATTAAACGGCCATGATTGCCCATATAAAAGGTGCCCTTGGGGGTGCCTCCGGTGAGAATGTCAAAGGTATTCACTCACTATCATTGTTCACGTTTGTTTGGACCTCCCACTTACTTCGGTGTAGAACTTGCCCTCGGGGCGAAAACATCCAGCAGCAGTGCTGGGCAGGAGCATCAAGGCCGCTTCCAGCAGTGGCTACTACAATGGTCATGCTAGGGGTTGCCATGACAGCAATCAAAACCATCGAACCGCACTCATGTTCTTAACGGAGGGAATCTCCGCATTACGAAGGAAACGCATTTTTTAATGAAGCTGAGGTTGGTTTATATGTAGACTATAGATATATAAAGCTATCCGTGGGTGCAGAAACTCCACGGACCCTGGAGTGCTTTTCCGAGCCTGTGTGGATGCATCTCCAAAAAAAAGAAACTGAGGAAACATAATTTCTTCAGCTTTGCGAGCACACCGGTCTTCAACACCCTTGCTTTATACATGCGCCCGGCTGTCTGGCGGAACTATTGGCCATGTCCCAGCTGCTCTGCCCGGATCAAATCAAAAGGCGCCTTGAGTTGGTCGTCATGATCATGATGACCCCTTGCAAATCTAAGTGCTTTCAAGACCCAACCACACACAAAAACAACAGAACCACAAAACATCGAGGGAGACCCTACGGACCTTGAACAACTGCCTCGCTGCGCCGCACACTGAACTGACATTCAGTTTTTATTATCAATAACTATAGATCAAGTACTTGGGTTAACATTTCATAAGGTTTACGGTACGTCCTCGCTGTTCTTCTGGCCCATTCGACCCAAGGGATACTCTGCCCTGCACGCTGAAAACTCAAGCAACTCTGCTATACTTGTTTTCGTGTGTGAAGCGTGAACCGTAACCTGTTAAGAACACTTCGAACCTGCACTAGTAGCAAGAACAGGGACTTTTACGTTTTTTCTGCTCCCAGGAGGAAAAACGAATACTAAGCCATGTTTGTCGGAATGGTTACCATGTTTGTTTGCACAAAGCCGAGTTGTTAAAAACAATACAAACACTGCCTTGAATAAGGGATGCTTGTGCATGTCAAGGTGCAGGTAAAGCAAGGTACAATTCACAGTGGAAAAGGACTCTAGACTCTAGAAGCAATCGTGACACAGCAGCCGCGTAATGTGGCGAAAAGACCCATCAAACCAGTGGCCGAACGCGGCCGACAAACACAACAAATGTCCCTTCAAAAGATTGGAGCGCTGCACGGCCAAAAAGGAACTCTCGACACTTGGTTTTGTTTTCTGTAAATCGCATTCCAAGCTTTTTCATAGAGTACTTCTTCATTGTGGAACCGGTAAGAACCTGACTAAATTCACACGAGGGAAATGTACTGTATGAGAAACAGTTGGGGTTTCCAACGGGATTTTGTTAGGCTTGACTTGACTTGGACACAGGGCACTCACATTGCCTGGACCTTCGGAGTGGTTGAGGGGTGCCCCAAAAAGTGAAAAGGTGTTCAGAACATTTGCAAAACTGTATATAAGTTCTGTCAACTAATCAATTGCAAAAACACCGCATTCCCCCACTATTTCCAAGTTCTGGTGGGAAAGCCATCAGAGTGTTGCTCAAAAGTGAAACAATAGTGTGGTAAGGACAGACAAGAACCATACGTGTGCCAATAGCGCAGGCAAAAGGGGGAAGGACATGGAGAGGCAATGGCACTTACTATCCATATAGGCTTTAGTGGCGCCCAAAGTGGGAAAGCCAGTGGAAGGGTTGAGCTTTAGTGGACGGTTGTGCCCAAAAGTGGGAAAGCCATATCATTGGAAGGCATTGACATCTACCGTCCAGGGCTGAGTTTTAGTGAAAGGTTGTGTCAAAAGTGCTCTCTGCCTTGGTTTTTCCCGAATGCGTAACGAAGGGTTCTCGTTTATCTCTGGGGGTCTGGAGGTAGAGTCTTGTTCGCGACTCGTTGTCGTAGCGTTCGCAACCGCTGTCAACCGTCCGCAGTGTTGCGCTATGGCGCGGACACTGGGGGAAGCTTTTGGAGAGGGTTTGGGATGGAAGCATGACGTGTCAAATTCGTGTAGTAGCGCGGAAATGGGTGGAATTGTGTGGAAACGCAACATTTTGAAGTGTGGAGGATCATTATTTCCACTGCGCAGGTGCAGCTTTGTGAGATCTGCAGTCTTCTTCGCAGTCACACTGAGATTTGCGTTTAGAGGGTGGTGTTTTTTGTTGTTGAGTCGAAGCTGTGTTTTCGTGACACAGCTAAAAATTGCGATTTTGGTGGATGGGAGTGTGCTCAGGACGTGTCGGAATCATCCCAAACGTGTGGCGTGGTGCAAAATTTGCTGAAGACACGAACATGATTGAGCAGGTCATGTCGTCGCTTTTCCTGGCAAAGTACTTTGTGCGTGTTAGAGGTGCAGGTGTCGAAGTTAAATTTTCGTGGCAGGCGCAGGGAATCGTGAGGTTACGATGGTTGGTGGAGTCGAAGTTCGCTGTGACATTGGGATTCGCGTGTCAGCGGTTGTGGTCTTGAGGGGCTGGGATTGCGAAGGTGAGTGGCAGGGCTGCGGAATCAGTTGTCTCTGATAAGACTTCCCGCTTCACTTTTGAAGGAAGGACGTCTCGTCTCGTACGAAACACTCGCTTTGAGACTTTGACGTGTGACTTTTGGAAGAAGTCCCGTACGAAACGCTATAGAGTTTTGCGGACTTGACGCATGGACCACGTCTCGTACAAAACGCTCGTTCTGGAGTCTTGACGGGTGAATATTGGAAGAAGTCTAAGTCTCGAACGAAATGCTCGCTTTGCAGACTTGACGTGTCTTTTGGAGCAAGTCTTGAGCGAAACGCTAGTTTTGGAGACGTCCCACAAGAGTGTCCTACAAGAGTAACATACAAGAGAGTCGCACAAGAATGTCCCACAAGATCTTTCCACAAGAGTGTCCCGCAAGAGTATCCCACAAGAGTGTCCTACAAGAGCGTCCCACAACAGTGTCCTACAAGAGAGACATACAAGATTGTCGCACAAGAGTGTCCCACAAGAGAGTTCCACAAGAGTGTCCCACAAGAGTGTCACTTAAGAGTGTCACTTAAGAGTGTCTCACAAGAGTGTGTGTCATACAAGTGTCCCACAAGAGTGAGTGTCATACAAAAGTGTCCCACAAGAGTGTTCCCCAAGACTGTCTGACAAGAGTGTACCACAAGGGTGCCTGACAAGAATGTATCCTACAAGTCTACAATGCAGCAACATCAAGACTTGTCAAACAAAACGCGCCAATTGTCATAGGCGGCGAACGCAGGCGCAACCTCAAAGGGAACTGCTTAAACTTTCTGGAAGTGCATCTGAGAGCTGTAGCACGAAGCACGAAAAAACGAACATGAACAAACTGCAGTTGAAAATGAAGAGCGCCCTCTCCCTCGAATGAAATTGCTGAGGGCAATGTACCTGCTTCAAAGCACCAGAGTTTGTCACTCTTACGGCCATCGGCCGGTACTTCCAGCATCTGTTCTTCCAGGTTTGATGGGTTGTGGGGGATCAAACATTGGCACATCGGCCCAGTGCAGGTCCATGGCATTGCTTTGCATGTTTCATTTGGGTTGCAAGTTTCTATATGTCTGACCCACTGTCTGACCCCCGTCCCAAGAGTCGTTCTCATCCTTCCGCCCATCTGCCAGAAAGCGCTGCTCTCCCGCAAACAGGCATGTCATGTTTATTTTTTATTCGGCAGAAGCGCCACACGGGCACGCGATGGCACGCGCTGCGCGGCAGCTGTGCCGAAGTCTATGCTTAAATTGCTAATTGCTTTTCACCGTGCAAAATGGCCAGGAAGTCGCAGCCCACCACCAGGTCCTGAGACTCAGAGACATGATCAGTGGGGCAGGCCGTATTGCTTCCCGTTTTGATCAATTGGTGATGCGTGGTGATGGTGAAATCCTTGAGATCCCGAAATGCCATCCAATCCAAGACTCTCCATTCCATTTTTACGCCCAAGCCTGTGGTGGAAAAACCTGGTTAACCCGGGATTTACAATGACACAAAAACCAGCCCAAACAGTTCGGGTCAAATCCGTCCCTCGACAAAAAGCTAACATCTCCTAAAATGGTGTCAACATGCAACTCTTACACATGTTGTATACACGTGTAACTGCTCAATGCTGACTTGTTCAACGCATCTTTTGGCTTGGGAGTGCCAACTTTGCAAAAACACTTAAGTCACTTAAACATCTTTACGGGCCACATGCACGGGCCAGCCCACCCACATGGATCCGTAGGGTTGAAAAGAGAACCACATCATCATGGAACAAACAATCACGTCCCCAAATACCCCTCACAAGCCCACAAATGGATGGCACCGCGTCACATCAATGATTTCTTGTTGAAGCACCCCACGTTGCACGCTTCACCTTCTACGGCCGAGGAGCACGCAGTGCTTGGCGGACCCGCTTTACGCGGTTCCGCAGAAGCGCTGGCAACTTCGCGGCGCCGGTCCCGGGGCGTAAGCCCAGGGCGAAGAAGGGCGCGACGCATTCGGAGAGGAGGAGCAAAGCCTGAGACTGAGCGGATAGAGATTCTGAGAGGATTCATTGCTGGAACGAGCAGTTGGTAGGGTTGAACGATTTAAGACCGAACATGTCATGAAGCCTTGTGGAGTGTTACACCGGTGAGTCGTACGTTCGTTCTTTGATGATGTTTGCCGAGCCTTGACCATATTAAATTAATCAGATGTGTCTCTCTCTCTCTCTCTCTCTCTGGCGGGCATGCCTTGCCATGTGTGAGTGTGGGGTCAAAAGCCCAAATTGACCTGTGAACGTGAACAGGATGGATATGGATGGGCAATCTCGCATGATATTTGAGGCTTCAGCTAGTGCCACGCTAGTAACAGGTGCCTTACTAGTAGTAACAAGAAGCTATTAGGAACAAGTGCCACGCTAGTAGTAACTTGATTGTGTTGCTACCCTATGTCCCAGCGCCCAGGACCGCGTGCGCGGTTTGGTGAACGCCTCATCGGCGTAGTGGTCGGGCTCTTGCACTCGTCGGTCCTGCAAATCCCCCACATCCATGTGCCCCACTGACAGTCATGTTGGGATTGAAACCTATGAAGTTTGTCCACAATTGTCTGCCTGGCACCCTAAAAAGGACTCACTCCCACAAAAAAGCCTAGACTGGAAAAATCCATGTGGGAACGATTGTGCCCCTGATGAGCAAAAAAACATCATCTGTCCAAAATCCTGCGGGTGGTTGCTGTGTTTGTTCTTCGGAATGGCGGTTCTCAGGTAGTCTTAGGTAAATGTTCTTGCTGTTGTTGCAGTTGTTGCCTTTGCTGTTGTCTTGCCTTTGTCGCTGATGCTGCTGTTTCTGCAGCATTGGAATGAAGTTGAAGGAATGGTGCGGAAAGGAACCAAAGATCAATATCCACCTTGTCCACATGCAGGCATGTCTGTGCAGGCATGTCTGCAGATCGAGGCCGTCTCGGTGCTTGGTCAGGTCTTACACCCAAAACTGCTGGATCAAGGGCGCTGGAAGCAGCCCGCTCAAGCACACCAATGCATTGAGTCTTTCTACCACACGTTTCTATACTTTTCTCCATGCAAGCGAATATAACCCTTGATTGGATACTTTATATCAGTTCATATCACACTAGTTTATACAGATTGAGCTAAAGTATTTCACTGGAGATGCAAGGGGTAGACTAAACTGGTTGACTCCAAAAGTGCCCTGTCATCGGCTTTTGTGGTGCAAATCTCCATGGCTTTCGAGAAGATTGTGGCCTTTCAAACACTGACATCCAGCCGGTTCCACAATACCATTGCCCCACGTAAAGCTTTTTGTGGGAACATGAGGGAACTCCCCTTTTCAATGTGATCTTTTCTCAACATAATTGGATCTTGTCTGGCACACCACTTCTTGCAATTTCCAGCCTCGAGCTCCGCCAGAAGCATGCGAAGCTCATTGGAGGCAATCAACGAGGCCAAAATCACCTGCTGTGATCTGGCTCGTGCCAAGACCACCTCCCGACATGGTAGGAAGCTGTAGGTTACCCAAACGACCCATAGTAAAACATGACTCTCTAACACTGTATAGCTAGTTTGTAGCTTCTCAATCTTTTCACTGCTGCAAATTTAAAAGCTTGCTTCGATGAGGCAGCTGCGATGGGGCCAGGTTCTTTCCGGCCTGGAATACATAACAGTTTTTCGTAATCAGGTCAATGAGCGTGAGCGTGTCACAGGCAGCGCGGTCGGCAATCGCAACAGGCCAAAATTCTTTAGGCTTCTCAATCATGCTCCCCCTCATAGAAGCCTCTAGACTCTAGAATCTGCAGAAAGAACTGGTTCATGTGGAAGTCGGTCAAGAAACAACACGATGGCACCCTGTAACCCCGGCTGTATGGGTTCTGTTCTCACCTTCCGGTTGGTAAGAAAGCTGCATCGCTCCTAGAACAAGTAACATCAAAGGTTGTCTTGGGAATAACATCCAAGATCCTGAACACATGTCACATGATGAACCAAAGGTACAAGTAATTAATTAGGTCATCCAAAACCATGGTCATCGCAATAGTCAAGGCGCCGTGGTCATTTCAAAGCCTACCTCGCCTGGGTGGACCCTTCGATGCCCACCCGCGCAAACTCCGTGAGCTTGGCGATCTTGTCCACCTGTCGTCGGTCGTCCTATCTCCGTCGTCGAGTTGACGTGCGTGTTTCCACATGTTTGTCGTCGCCCGGTCTTGGTCGGTTTGAAAGCTCCAAAAGTGGAGGATTTGGGTCAATGTGAGGGCGCGCCGTGCAATGCACACTCCCCTTTTCACCTTTGCCTTTTGGATCAGCATCGCTCTCAACCGCACTGTCTTTTGCAGCACTCATAGTGATCACAGGTCCCAGGCTAAAAAACCTCGGGCATTAAGTGGGGTCTAGAATTGAATCGCGAATCAAGTGAGATTCATATATTATAATATATATATATATATATAAATGTGTATAGACTATATACGCTCGCTATATATATATATGACTATATAGATCTTAAGCCGCTGACTCAGCCATTGACTCTGCCATTGTGCACATAGTTAATATATGATACAAGTCTGGAATGAATAATTAATACATGACGCGGTATACAATGGTATACATATATAGCTTGTTGCTTTAGTGGTTGCTTTCTTCCATTTGTCCTGCCTTTCTGATCCTTTCGCCCTTGGCGTGCATTTCGATCGGTGTCGGCATGCACGTCCGACGGGAGCTCCCCACGCCCGACGACGCCGCGACCGTGGAGCGCACCGTTTCCGGGTTGGTGTCGTGCTCGAGACTTCCAAGCACCGCCTCGGCCTCTTCCATCCTCAGGTCCTGCAGGTTCGGACTCAACATGAGCCCTATCGGACTGTGATGCTGGACCCGTGAAGGGAGAAAAGGCTCAGAAGTTGTGACGGTGATCAAGTCCTTGACAGTCCTCACCTTCCCAACCCTCTTAGTTCTCACTCATGCTTAAGTCTCCCACGAAGGGCGTAAGGCGCGGTCACCGGTTATCCATGGCAGCCGACCGGGTCACCGACCGCCTCCTCCTGGACGATCTTGGGCTGAATCTCCACTGCCTGTGCCAACTGAAGACTGAACAATTTTTGGGTAAGAGCAAAGAAGCTACTAGGGGCTCCTGGCCGTACTACTAGGAACAAGAAGCTACTAGAACCGTTCATCATTCACCAAAGGTGCCGCTAATGATCCTCCGGGCTGGACGCGAATGAACCTGGGCGTCTTGTGCTAAGCCTGCTACCACCTGCGGATGGTCTTCAGAGATCCTTTCCTCAACATGAAGGGAGAATCGCTCCAGAGCCATATGCTCTGGCTAAGCCTGGTCATTGACCTGTCCACTCCTCCAAACCCAGTGGCACCCAACAGCACATCAACTCAGAATTTGTATGATTCGAACCTGTTGATTCACTGGGCATCCTGTATCATATGGATTCATATGGCATTTGTCCGAGTAGCATCATCGAGCGGTTCATTTGAGGCTTGAGGCCACTTCGTCACTGTGGCCATTCGAAGACTGACCGATGGAGGTGACCTAGCAAAGAACAGCCCCAAAGACTCCGGCCTCTGGGACAGCGAACTTGGCTCGCTTCTTGGGCGAACGTGGCTCCTGCCCGCGGCGTCCTTTCTTTATAGGGCTTTCTGAATGATGAGAGCGCTGTGCGGGGAGCAGATGATGGGAGTTGTTGAGAGTTGTGCGGTCATGTGGAAACATCGATGGGTACCAAACTCTGGGCAAATGGTGTCGGAAATCAGGGCGATATTTGTCCACAACTTCCATTTGGCAAAGCTGGTTTATCTGTTGCTGAAATTGGATATGGCCCTCGCGGATCTCAACAAACACCTTTCCGGGCATGCTTGTTCTTCCGCTTGAGGTACCAAAAACATATAGCTTGGTGGTGGCCCTTCGCCTTGTCTGAATCACATCGGGTCGCGGATTCCCGTCCTCTGCCTTTGGTAGCGCTTCCTTCCATTTTGCTTCATTCTCTTTCTCTTCCTCGTCACGCGCAAGGTCCGACTGCTGAGCATGGAAGACAGTTGGGCAATGGGAGAATGCGCTTCCTACATGTTCCCACCAATAATCCCAGCCAACACCTACAGTACTAAGATAGCTAGGGCCTGGTAGTTGTAGTGGTTATCAAGTCCTTCCACAAAGTGCAAAGCTTCTGAAGAACGCGTTGGATGTCGTCAAGAGAGCTCGAAGAAAATGTTACTGTACAAGTGATAAATAATCATACACTTATGTTCCTGCATAATCTAGACAGACATTGAAAGAATGAACATAGACTTGGCCAAAATGACCCGGCCCACCGGGTTCAAACATAAGTCTCATCTTGATCCCCAAACAGAGGAAAAACAATCGGAATATAAACGGATCATATATGACACCATAAATGAGTCACGGGATGTTTGCTCCACCGACTCAGTGATCACGCGATCCGCGGCGCGTGATCACTGAGTTCTCACGCGCCTTCTGCCGTTGCTCCCTGCGGAGTCGACGCTCCTCCCTCTCACGCTCCTGCCAATTCTGTGAGGATGGCGATCAAGGACTAAGTGTAGAAAAGCGAACGGAAGTATCGACCAGGTCCCGGCGTTCAGTATTACAGTGCCCGTACGGTCGTGTCGACGAAGGCGAAGGGCCAAAAGGCCAGCCGAAAAAAAACACCGCTGAGTGAACGGGAAAAAACTATTTGCACGTGCTGAAGCCCAAGACTAAGACTGTTTCTCTCAATAAGGAGGCCCAAGGGAATTGTTATGCAGTTATTATGAAAATGCACAAGCACTAGCCCTTCTGCCACTCGGCCCACGCCTGCCGCTCGCGGCGTTCTTGTCGGAGCTCGGGGGAATGCCGGGTCTCAGTGGGCCGCATGCCTGGCGGAAGACGGTCGGGTCCACGTGAGGGAGGCGGTCCCAAAGAAATGGAGGCCCCCAAAAGCATTGGCGTCCAAATGTTTCGGTCAACTTCCAACGCCTTTCGGACTGTTGATCTAATGATGATATGAGATGTCATGATATGTCTCCCTGTAAGGTTCGTGCCAGAAGTATCACCTCCACAAGAGGTACATCACTACTAGGAGCTACAAGGCAGTTAGCATGACTTCTGGAGCCTTGAGCCCGGCTTTTGTCCTGATTATTGCAATTCTACTGCACAGGTCTGTGATGATGGCAGCTTTCGCGCCCATAGCTGTAGCCCCCAACCCACCAAACCAACCATTGGTCGCGAAAGATATGGTCCAATAAGCTGCTATTGGTCCAACAAGCGCACGGTGGTCTCTTGCCATATTGAGCGAGATGTCGATGTATCAGTTCTAAGATGTTTCAAAGATGATCGTGTGAGCTTGTGATATGTCTAACGTCTTGAAACATGCAGCCTCCCATCACACCCGCCTGAAGCCCACATGGCTTCGAAAATTGCCTCCTGTGCCAACTGCTTCGGGGTCTTGCGCCGGTAGCGTTTCTCCTTGCGGAGCGCTACTGAAGCATGGCAGCGGTGATGTCCAAGGAGCATGAGAATGGGACCATATATGGGAACTCTTGAGAGGCTTCTCGCTAATCTCCTTATCCTGCCTAGCCTCTGTACTTGCTCACTGATGTAACCGTTCAACACTGGGCACCGTGCATGGGCAAGCGGCACCCTGTGTGCCCTTGCCAGCCCATTCCCCTCACGCTTAGTCAAAACATCAGTTGGGCGCCTTGATGCGCCTTGGGCGTGAAGATCCCACCCAAGACTTGAACCGAGCTGTGGTGGCTGAGCTTCAGCTGACAGGGCGATGGTCACCCGACCGGCTGAGACAAAGATCGAGTCCCAAACAGCCCACCGAATAGGACAAACAAAGCCCTTCCAAGCACAGGATGGCCTGTTTCAGGCCCGGCCTTCTGCGGGGTGTCTTCGACAGCCTCCACCTTTTCCTCCACCTTCTGCTTACCGCTGCCATCACAGAACATGCAGGTGCACTTGCTCACCTCGATCTCCAATCTCAAAAAACGCCCCTGGTAAGGGAGACATTGGTGCAATCATCAAATATCTCAGTGATTGCTGATCGGGGCCATGACCATGTGTCAAACATCTCACCAAGCTGAATGAAATCCTAGTATCCGGTCCAATACATATAATATATATGCATAGAGAGAGAGAGACTCATATTAAGAACATGTATACACAAGGAACAGCAAGCTCTTCCTCACATGCATTATAGAAATGGATTCGGCCCAAGTCAGTGAACCAATTTCTGCGATTGCAAAGACAGTTGTTTTTTTTTAGAAGTTGCATAATGCATACCCAAGAGCACACTGAATACTTACTAGACTTGACTAGACTAGGGTCTTGACCCTGCCCCTACCATGTTCCAAGGAAGTGGTTTCAGAATCCCTGCCAGTTCTTATCGCAGGCAACCCGACTTCGACTCCAAGCAGTTGGGGCGATCCTGGCTGACGAGTGGACCTTGCTTTTGAAGGCTAGGCATGGTTGAAATGAGCTCACCCCTTCTGTTTCAGGAAGATCCCAAATTCGACTTGCCCATCCGCCGGGGCAAGGCCCCGTACGTGGTTCTCACAGGGAGAAATGAGATGGTCAGTGTCAAATGCGTTTGCTTCCTCCAAGTAGCGCAGTTCAGCCCAGTGCCATTACCTCGGTAACGGGCTCAAGGAGTTGGAGGGTGCATGGACTAAGAGGGGGAACCCAAAACGAAGCCAGTTATATTATAACTTCTGAGAATTTCAAGGTCTGATTTATCTGAGAATGGAAGGGTGTCAAGCCCAGTGAGGCCCAACACGGGTGGGCCAATTCCCATAGGCATCACCAATGGACCCAATGGACCATTGGTGTATAGCAGCAACTGTTCGACAGTTGGAGGACATCTAACATCCAATGTCAACACCGGGGCCAAGGCACCAAGAGCAAATGACAAGTGATGCAGCATGTAACAAGTCCCGTGTGCTAGAGTGTTATGTAGATCAAATGCAGGCTCTCAGAGCCGAGTCCCCACATGTCCCCACTGCACCCCTGTGAGCCATGTGCCATCGCCCTGCAATGCCGACCAGCCACAAAAAGTGCAGCTGGGGACTTCTGCCTCTTCCGTTTTCTTTTTGTTATTGAGCTCCTTGCATCGGTGATAACATCAGTATTGCCTGATTCCTTCACGTCAGTGACTCAATGTGCAACATCTTGCCCAGCAGTGCTCAGCGGGCACCCCATTCTGTCTCACAAAAAGAACCGCTGACGGGCAACAATCTCAATTATATTATAACTCCCGGATTCTCTTCGGAACCCTGAAGTCTCAAAGATGACCCTGAGGGGGAAAACTTGTTCGGATTTCAGGTGAGTCGACCAATCCAAAGTCCTCACAATCTAGTAAGGGCATTGAATACATTGAATGATTTGAGATCTCCTTCATTGCTTGTAGATGCCTGTAACACAATAGGCCCATCTTTACACCGTGATGACCCTCCTCACGACGTCCCCATCGACTCCTCATCTGTCTCCGTTAGCTCCTCTGTGACCTCCTAAAAATTGAACACAATCAAAAGCGGAAGGGGTGGAGGTTAGATACCAATTTTGGAAACCCCAAATCCAGGGCAAAATCCAGCAAATCTTGTGTTCTGTCTCCCCAAACGCATCACTTCTCCTCCGCTGACTGACCCTTTTGATGCCCCGATCATTGCCACTTGTGTGCTATTGGTTCATATTGACTACTATATTTAGTGGAACCACTCCGGCCCAAAGGGTGACTCAAAAGCAAACATGCAAAACACTACTATGCTTCAATATGCGTTGGTCGTTTCTTTTTTAACTTAATCAGTCATCTGCATCTGCCTCGGCCGGCAGCTCCGCCAAGCGTTGCACCTCGTCGGCCAAGTCTTCCAACCTCGATCTCGAGGCGATGCAAACACCAAGGGCAGCCAGTCAGCGATTTGCGTGGTTGGAGTGGTCCAAACCTCAAGGCACACCTGCTTGGAAGGTCTAGATTCTTTGATATTATTTGCATGTTTTGCTTGCAGAAATTGGATGCGGGACCACGGGGGAGTCCTATGAAAGAGATGCATAGTTGTTACAGTAAAAGCCAGTCAGTTCTATAATGGTTGTCAGTTTGGCCATGTGCATTCTTTTGTGAGGCCATGATAAACAGTTATATAATTGTATCATCACAAACTTCCAGAAGGGGCAAGCTAGCTCGCCAAAAAATATAAACAACTCTGGAGCTGTGTTTAGATTACATAACAAACACGCACTGTTACATACCAGGATCATGCCCATTATATAATATACGCATCCAAACACGGAGGTGGAGTCTGAACTTTGGAATTCACAGGATCCATGAAGCTACTTGTTCAAAAGCCTGTTCAGTCGGACCCATCCTTCCCATGGTGACTGAGCAACTCCTCAGCATCTCCAGGGACTTTCAAACAGTACCTTTCCAGCTCGACGCCGCTCCTCGGGCAAACAGCAGCGCGGGCCAAACAGGAATTCTATGAATGGGTCTGGTAGGGAATTCTATGATGTTATGTTCTTTTTTCATGTGTGTTATATGGGTTTCCAGCGGATGATGCTAAATAATAGAACATCAAACTCAAATAACTTCTGCCAAACTTCACTCTACGAGATGGAACTCGTTTTTCCATTGCTTACGGTCAACAGCCGACTCATGCCTCATGCCCCTTCCATCCTCTGCTCACGTGTGCGTAATTAGCCAATTAGCTCTGGTGGGACATGGACCTGGCCGTCTGCCCTAATTCCCGTCCTTCACGACCCAGACCTGATCCCCTTGTGAAGCGAGACACTCAAAGTAGATGGCACAGACCTCAAGACGTCCTTGACATGGGAGTTCATATAAACCACCTCTTGGGGTCTGCGCCATTACTCTCAATGCACCACACCCAACACAACCATTGGGTCCAGCAAGGAAGAATCCGCCACTGAGGCTGTGTTGAAGCAACAGTGTGACACTTCCCAAGCGCTTCCAACCGAGTCTCACAAGCAGCCCCAGGCTTTCAACTAGCTTTCGCAGCTGCTGCCGCCGGCCTTTGGCAATCCTCTTCGCCTCCTCCTGCATGCGTGGGCCCTTGCCAATGTGTTCAAAGGGGCATACACTACTCCCTATGTCTCACCACTCAACATCACCTTTCCTGCCTCACATTTACCCAGCGGTAGGTCGTGCACTACACGTTTCATAATGCAAGCATCGCTCAACAAAAGAAATCGAGATCGGCGCTTCCAAAATCAGCGATCCACTGGCACTACTTGAATGAGTTTGGCGTGAAGGACCAGGTGCTCTGAGTTTCCACGAGATTTGTTCCACGTGTTGCACCAAGTCGAAGCCACTACCGGGTAGACCCTGCAATGCACTCTATTTGACCCGGTCAGGGCCGGAAACGAAAGCCCTCAGGTCTAGTCACAGCCACCCTCAAGTAAGAGACCATGATTGTCAAACACATACCTGGACCATCCAATGGGTGTCCAATGGAGATCCCTATAAGTAATGTAGGGTAGTGCAAATTTGATGATCCTGGTGGTCTTGTCATTTTGTCAATCTTGTCACGTGTTGCTCTCCTAGTGACCTAGTGCAAATTTGAAGCATTCCATCATTCGCTCACGAATCTTCCAGTTCTCATCTCTACGTCTGTCCTGCTTCCGCTTCTCCTCCTCTGTGACCTTTGGCACTGCGTTCAACGTGTCCGCCCGCGGTTTAAACCGGGGCTGAGTCGTTGAAGTCTTTGCCGGGACGGCAGACTTGGCATCCAAGGAGACCCAGTGGAGACGGGGGTCATTCTGCCAGGCCAGGTCGACCAAGCGCATCAGCCGGAGCCTCAGTTGAGGAACTGAAATGGATCATCCCGGATGTGGATGCTCGGTTTGAAGGGATCTCTGAGTTTCTGCTCCCATTTCTCTTCAAAGTCTCTAACCTTCAATTCCCTTCCCACCAGCTGTGTTGGAGCCGAGGCTCCGTTCCTGTGCATCAAACTGCTTGCGGATCTGCTCGTTGCGCTTCTGCCGACCCCGACGCTGGTGCCGGGGACAGTCCTGGCCGGCACCTCTCCAAGCCAATGACCCTGCTGGGGCAATGCCCATTTAAACATCACAAGGTTATGGTTGACCTTATAAAAAATGGCCCAAAGGACTTCTAGGGATGTTAAACAAATTTATCCATGGTTTCGGAGGGCCTGCTTTTGCACTCACCAATATATATATATATATAAAGCCCTAGCGATGTGCAAGAAAGTAAAACCTTTGATATCGTTGTTAAGAGATGAATGGGCTCATGGTCTTTGACTACTCTCATTGTACCTCTGTTTAATTATCATTGTACGCCCGGAAGAAAATGAGGAACCCTCACTTTCCACCCTCAAGAACACCGTCATGTTTCTGTTTCCTCTGCCGCAGCTTAGTCCACCACTACACCAACTGCTCTTGTGTAAACAATTAATTCAGGATTGCACAGGCCAGCTCAAAGCTAATCAGCTAATCCTTTTCACGAAGCCTCCCCGCCAAAAGCAAACACATGCTCTGTCACTTGACATGTCCTGGAGCAAGAACGCACAGTGCTCAACCCCACTGCAATCAATCACCGTTTGGGATTTCCAAGAGTCTTGAGTGGGTGGCATCAAAGAAGCAGAAAATAACAAATTCAAAAGGACAAACCGATCACGACCTACCATCTCTGGTGTCAATCACTTTCGTGGGAGATTGTAGAATCCAAAGGCATCCCAAAATATGCAACTTTGTGCTTTGGGAAAACGGCAAGTAGGTGTAACAGTGGTACAGGACATCAAACGGCACAGGATCTGATGGTGTCGTTTGTGGCTCAGCTGCTCAAAAACCAAATGCTCTTACTCCGGCGAATCACATGCTCTTCAGCGGCGAAACGCAGGTTTGCGCCTGAATATCTTCCAGCTCCAAGCCATGCTTCTCCAAATAGGCTGGGCTCACATCGCGCCAGCTTTCGAAGTGGTACCACCACCTGGGCTATCTAGGCCCCCAAAAAGCAAACAATTTAAGGGCATAGTCAAACTATTGACCTGCGGGGTGGGACTTGAAAGATTCCAGGTTCTAAGTTTTGGTCTACTGATTTTGAAGATTGCATAGTGAACCTCAATATTTATGTACCAATGTGAACACCCAACCTAAACTGAGTTTAAAAAAATCCCCAGACCAACGTAGCCATGGCTATCTCGCCAGAATCTGATCGCAACTCTGTGTACCAGTGTTTTTCCCTTTGAATTGTCTTGCAAGACCAGGGAATGAATCATCGGTAGTGGTAAGTCGGCAGTTCCATGATCTAACAGCTTAGCACCACCTGTGTATGTAAGCAGAAATGCATCCCTCACCACATGACAAGAGGTCCTCACCGTTCAGGAAATCCCTCATTGAAGCCCTCTGGTTGATCAATCTTTTGTTGCACAAATTTCTATTCGGCTGCAGCTGCTGACTCGAACTGCAAACGAGTCAAATCTCACGGCAGCGAAAACGAAGCGCCCCTTTCCGGCGAAAACGGACCTATACGGACCTGATTCACCTTTTCCGTGCTATCCGATCATCCGGTTTGTAAGAGGTCAGTTCCATGCGGAGAATGGTTTTCAATGATCATGTTTGCCCTTTTCCTCCAAAATCATATGCTTTCCCTTTCCACCCCGGCCCGGTATAGTCCTTCTACTCATTCCAACCGTCGAAAGCATCAAGTTGTTGGGACAAGGAAAGCAGCTCTCAATACTGAACACCATCTGGCAGTGGGTCAAAACCATCAACCCACCATGGTCTGGTGGAGGATCGAGGTTTTGACTCACAGCCACGGATGATTCCACACATATCTGCCCTGTCCGTTTCATTAGCTTGTCTTCGCTCTCATTGGTCCTTCCCAAAACCGCCCTTCCTCCGAACGAGCTGCTCGTAGAAATCATGGACCCGATCCACGTCCTCATCCACCGTGCCTAACAGAGGGACCTCGGACACCTCGGAGAACCGTGCGTTCCGCCGGAAGACGTCCTCCAAGCTCTTGAAAAATCCTGCACCGAAAAGCGCGTGAAATTTGCGGTGGCGGCGCTGTGGAAAAGACCATCAATTAACATCACGTGGTTGCTGCATGTTGTCAAAGTTCAGACACACTCACACATCCTTGAGTGCGTTGGTCAGGCAAATGAGGGAACGCCAGGCTGTTACCCGAAGAAAGGGGGGTCCGGGGTAACAGTGCATGGAACCCGTGAAAGTGGAGTTCGCCCACTCAGCTGCCTGGGGGCGCCGCCCACTCACCCAGCCGCATCTCCTCTGGAGCAAAGCTCTGCCCTCGTAGGGATGGAATCATCAAACGGCAGTGTGCTATCGTACATCTGCTTGTTCCTGAAATGAATCCGGTCCGCAAACATGGATTTTGCGCTTGTGGTTGACAAGGTCCAACATTCTCATGTCGACACCTGAAAGCATCCTGAGTCCACAAACAATTTAAAACCCTTTAGCTCAGAAGCCCCAAACATATGGCCATATCGCTTTCCACATATCGTGATCTCGTGAGGACATCACATCCTTGCTTTCTGTGGAGCTTCAAGCCATACTTGCTACATGCTGCTTTCATACAATCCGTTTCTTTTCGAAGCTCCTTCGAAAGTGGACCACCCCAACAGCAGCCCGTTCCAAGCAACCTTGCTCGGAACCCCGCAGCGCCGAGCTGCTCCGGATCAGAGAGGTATTCATAAGCCTCCTGGATGAGCTGAAAAGCGAGACTTTTGCTGGCCTCACACCGAGCCAAAACTGCCCCGTCCAGCTGTAGGCACTGGGCATGCGGGTATGCCGAGGGAAACAGTGCTTGGAGTGCTGTATGTACATGGTGATCAGTCTTCCGGGGGGCCATGTTCCACTGGCTTCTGTGTAGCTGAACAAGATCTTGATCGTGCATATCTTTCTTTCGTTTCTTTGTTCACCAGGCATCGTGTCAGTCTTATTCTTTTACGTGCCTGGCCTTCTTGTCAGGATGGTGAATCAGTACCAGCCTTTTGTAGGCCTCTTTCACCTGCGGCTGGGTATATAGAAAGTGGACAGCCAAGGTCTTGTCCCCTTGAAATGATTACATGAATGTGATGTTGCATGCAGGCATTCTGAACAAGAGATGAGCCTCATTCAACTGGCTCCTGGTACATCAGTATGTAGCATTCTATTCGTATGGTTCACTCCCGAAAACTAACATGGACCCTGAGAATGGCACCCTGACCCTCAAAGTGGATTTCAGGGTCCATGTTAGTTTTCAGCCCCACTTAGTATACGTATGTCTATTTTAGTGTAGTGTAGTTATTTCGTTGATATTGGCAGTGCTTTGGTGCATCGAAATCATTTCCTAGAACATTTACACAGTGTTTCACTTTTTGGGACCAACGTCACAAACCCAAAGGTCTGAAGTCCAAAGCAGGAAATCTTCGGATCTTGGGACTTTTAGACTATTGGATCTTTAGACGATTGAGGCTTTGGACTCTTGGAAGTATGTTTCCTGAGAATTGCTGCGCAACAATCTGTCCTTGTGAGCCTGGCATCGTGAGCATTGCCAAACATACGCCAGAATAGGAGTATAGGATTAGAATGGGGTCGCACATACAACTATAACATATAAACTGTTATACATCCCAACACTAAGCCCACAAGTTCGTCAATCACCCATGGGGAAACCAATCTGCAACCATATTGGACTTTCACTAAGTCACAATTCGCACCAAAACTACAAAGTTAGCCTAAAAAAGGGAGATGATGCCCTTCCCTCGGGCAAACGCATCACTTGAAACGTTGGAACATCGACTCATCCGAACGAACGCCCACCTCTTCCATGCTGGGAAAGCCCTCGTCGGTCACTCCTTGTATCTCCAACAGCGTATAGAGCTCGACACCTGGCCAGTGGACACCGCCGAAGTGCTAAAGTCATCAAGTCATAGGGACAAAGCCCGAGTGGACACATTATAACACTTGTCACTTGTGAAGAAAATTCTGGAAAAAAAAACACACGAAACATCACATGAGTCTTCTCTCGTCGAGATCGCACATCGAGAAGATCTTCTGGATGCAGGCGATCCACACTGGCATTCTGCTCGCCAACAAAAAGACTCGACCCTGGCGTCGAACACAGCGCAGGATCAATTTAACGTGCCTTGCAAGCGTCGGCTCAACCCTTTACCAGGCCGCAACTTGGAACGTCGTTCCTGGGTCCCGGCCGTTCGCGAAATGTGTTCCACGTAGTGGGAGGCTCACCATTCAGCTTTTGAACGCGTGTTGTTCCTGAAATGCTGAAATTCTGCTGTTGCTTGATGCTTTTGCTGCTTAGGCTTGATTTTTGCCCCCACACCACACAGCACTAGTCACTAGTCCAGCGTCTCCTACTATCAGCGATTCGAACCTTCACATCAAAAAGAATGAACCTGAGTTGAAGGTGTCCAGGTTCCCTCCACTCACGGATCCTGGGATGGACTCCAGTCTCCAGTCCACCCAAGCGGTTGCGCTCGCATGCGCGAGCCGCTCCCATCTCCGAGCTGCAGCCCGCTCTTGACAGCGCAACAAGTATGGCTTGGTGCGGCCCGAGCGGTTGCTGAGCGGACGCCGCTTCGGAGGAGCCTGTCAATCAGAGGGGCATTGATCTCTGGAAAGAATTTTGGTTTGGGAAGTGTACTCATTTGCTTGTCCTCGTGTTCATGCACTTGATCATGAATGAACAATGAAAGCATTATAAAGCGTTCATACTAATACTACCAACCGGCTCACATGTAGGCCTTTCGATCAGAAATGATCAAGATTAAAGGTGAAGACCAATATGAACTGCAGGTCGCCGCAGGTTGTGCATATGTCTTCACTGTAAATGGAAGATTGAAACCTGTCCAGCTTGTCCAGCTGGGGCACAAATCGCACAATGCGTCTGGCTGTTCTTTCGACAACTGACATGGCGCCATCCTGATCTCCCCATATCAAAATCAGATTGTGGAATAACATGGTATGAACTTGTTTTTCATTTTACAGTAGATTGTTTGCTGGCTGATGCATGCCCATTTGGCTAAAGATTAAAACTAACCATCCGGCTCATCCGTCTGATTTCTTTTCACCAGAAGTCTCATTGCAAAAACCAGAAGTCCAAAGTTTGTGGCACTAAGCCATCAACTTTCGTAACGTTGTTAAATATATTGATATCTTGAGAGCATCTCAAAACAATGGTTGTGTCCACGCTATAAGAAAACGGGTGCATCAACAATGGTAAAGTTGGTTTATCGCCGGAGTTTGGTAGGAGGCATTGCATCTCGTCCGGCTCTTCCACAAAACAAGCCATGAAGATGTTGAAAGAATATGCTGCTATGCCCGGACAACTTTACCCTCTTAATGTCCGTATTCCCTTCGTGCCGAATCTTGAATGCTCTCTTGTTGCCACTCCTATGCCAACTGATCTCTCATTTCTTAACCGCCACAATGTCTATCAAAGGGTAAAGAAAATTAAGCATCAAAAATAGAATATTGATTCCATTTGTCTTGACCAGTGAATTAGTATGTTCATGTATTTCCCCTGACATGAAAGATATTCGCCGTCAATGATACTTTGCGTATGGTTTAACCTGGGGACATACCGGTTGAACTTGCGGTTTGTTTTTGCATGTTTTGTTAGAAAGTCTATTGTAAATCCCAACCTCCGGCACCCCCCCATGGGGAAGGACTGAGAGGTGCGTCGTGGAGCAAAGCGCAAGGTGTGTGGGAAGATTGGAACCTGTTTTTCTAGTTGTAGGGTAGTCCACACTGAACACCCGTTGGATGATCCCAGTATATTGCGCGTGAAACCTCGCGCAAGCAGCATTTCTGCACCCAAACGACAAAGATGGTGGGTAATTACTCGGATCTCGCTATGACAAGGCCACAGCAGCCAGTCTTTTTGCTGGCAAGGAGCCACACCTCCAAAGCCAAGACCCTGGAAGAAGGAAGAAACTTCCTACATGGCTGCTAAACGAATACCCGGCCCCGTGATGACCACCTCAGCAAGTGCAGGATCTGTACTATACTTATGGTGCATTTACCTAGCCCTCCCTGGTCATGTGTTTGCTGCCGATATCTGACGTTCCTGACCACAAAAAAGACACACACTACCTGATACAGGGAGAGACCACCACTGACACTTGTTGGTTGTTTCTAATACTGGCCTCCTCCTGCGCAGGGGCCTTGGCCGGCTGAAAGCTAGGCATCGAGCGCTCGTAGCCCTGACCGGACTGGAAGCCATGATGACGGCATGGGGGCATCAAAGAACATCACTGGAGTTAGTAAACTGAAACCGCTTATTGGGGGTTTAGGGATGTTTGGGGTTTTAGGTATACCACGACTACAGTTCCAACAGGGCTCTTTCAAAGTTACATCGAACTACCAGTGAAAATGCCATGATCAGCATCAGTGGCGGAACATTACAACTTAAAGAACGAGAAATATAGGTCATAGACGGTCATAGACTAGGTCTTAAATGAGCATGATTTGTTTCTGCTGTTTGGCCTTCCCTCCAAATGTCAGCACCAACTGCTTCTCAGAGTTGTGTGTGTGTGTGTGTACGTGCGCCGTGTATCAATCTTAAGGTGGGGGATGTTGCCATCGAAGTGATCTCAAGTGCCATCTTGTCCAACCAATTCCACTCGTCCAAAAAATCTCGTCCACCATCGTCTGCACCATGTTTGCCATCGAAATGCCGATCCTCAGCCCCACCTCCAGAAATGCACGCCCTGCCGTCTCCACCGCCCGACGGCGGCAGGGTGCCGGGGACCGGAGCACTAAGGGGCCTGGCAGGTGCTGGCTGAAGGCTGAATGACCCATGAATGAGTTGGGAGTTGGGGAGTGCTCCCAATGAGTTGGAAGGCTCTAATGCTTCGAAATGAACGTCTGGGGAATGGTTGGACGCTGGTGAAGAATGTGATCCGCTTTTTTCTTGTCCGAGTTAGAGAGGGCTGTTCCAGGGGGAGGACGAAGAGGGAACAGGAAAAAAAAAAGGAAGGAAAAGGACAAAAACATGGAAGAAGGAGGAAAAAGAAAAGAGGAAAAAGGAAGAAGGAAACAAAGGAAGAACGAGGAAAAGGAAGACTTACATTTTGAAACATATCCTAAGGATGGATCACAAATGCCACCTCTTTCTGCAGCCCGCACCTGTCGGAGGACCTCCAAGCAGCGCAGGAACCCGGTGAATTCGAAGACAAGAGTCCAACCAACCAAGAAACCTCAGTGGAGAAACATAGTGGCTGCACCGGGCCCCAACAGTTGCTGGACATTCCGGTCATGTCATATAGTTTCTGGAGTCCCAATCAAATGAGTTTGGTCACCTGGTGGATTGCTTCTGAACAGTTTTGCGATACCTGAATTCGTCACATGCTGCTTTCAACCAAAGGGATGACTGGGCTGCCTGTTCTTGGAGCCTGCTCCAACCCCGAAGTCACGAACGATGGTAGGAGAGGGCGAGCGAAGCGAATCGATGGCCGCTTTGACATCTCCACTTGGGGAGGAGTGAACAAGGAGGACAAATGGAAGGGGGAGACTGCTCTTGGATGAGCAAGGCTTCTAAGACTACCACTCATCTTTGGGTTGATCTACTTCCATGCGGGGGGGGGGGTGAGCGAGTTTATTTGATCTGTGGAGTGCTCCGCATGTGCTCATGAACCGAACCGACACAGTAAAAGAAACCTTGCCAAAAATCATCTCATGTATGATCATTAATGATAATGATGCCCCACAGTGGGAGTTGAACTGCGGGCGGGGGAGGGGGGGGTTCTTGTCAAACAGAATCACCACTAAAATCCAAACGTTCAAATCTTTCAAGATCTTTCAGGGATGCAGCCCTCCTTGCTTACGCAAGATAGAACTCAGGTAGCTAATGCTACCTTTCGTGATATGGTTCATTGCCAATGCCAGCCACATATCGCCCATGGGCGATGTGTCTTCGGCTTAGTCAAGCGGCTTGACGAGTCAAACTGAACACCTTGAGGCACCAAACCTACCTAGTGCATCCTATCACCTTGAAGTGTTCAATGCCTCGACCGGGTTCCACACGCTTCGAGGGAGTTGATTCCGTCACACGAGTTGAGGATCTGGAGCTCCGAGCGGCTGCGGACACTCCATGGTGACCGTCACTTCGGAAACCACTTTCAAAGCTAAGGCCTCGCAGTCCTTCGCTTTCGGAGGAAGGGCGGGGCGGTCAAGAAGCTGGACTCTGGCACTTGGGACCCTGAACAACGAGTACTGAGTATATATATATATATATACTTGGAACCATCTTCCAAGGTGCTTGGGAGGTCCAGGCATTTACAAGTTGGACATTGATTCCAGGGAAACGCAGGGTTAAACCTGAACATGCAGCAAATAAATATTGACAATTCTGACATTGTTTTTGCTGAGTCATGTCTCCAACGTGGTGATCCCACAGCGATTCTAAGGCCACACAATGTGTTGCAGGGTCCAAACAAATCCATACCTGTACCCTCGAGAGACGTTTTTTTAATTGGAGTAAGTTTGGGGGATTCGCACTGGGATTCGCTTGAAACTTGTTCAGGGCCAGTACATCCCGCTGATGGAAAGAAGGGATCTCCCAAGCCTTCATCCCCTGCATCTGAAACACTCAAGGATTAGTCCCAACTAGAAGTGCACAGAGTTCTTTCCCAACTCAACAGGGGGCTTCAAGTTCCTGAGCATTTGTGGGCATCTCGAAATTGTGCCTCTTGACGGCAAAGTTTCATCTAGGGATGCGCAACTCCCCATCCTTGAGCGCGTCGTTTGAAGTTGAACAGAAAATGATCCACCAAAGAGCTACCAAACATGACCCAAACAGGAAGATGCATCAACGAACCCGACACAAAAGTGATGACAACTTAACTTACACCTCGTATCCTCAATATCTAACAAGACCTGAGGCCCAATGCCATTACAAAACCAAAGACACAAATTAATGTTTTGGGTGCGGTTTGGGTGCGGAGTCTTTGTTGGAGTGATGGCGTCAGTTTGGCGTTTGGTTTCGAAGTGAAGGCGGATTTGAATTTGGCGTTTGTTCTTGGCGCTGTGGGTTGCTGCCTATACAGAAAAACAAAAGTGGCGGGGGAACGAAAGCCAGCAAGAGAACGCCGGCCTACAGCTATAGTCCAGGGAGACACTTTTTTTGCATCGAGCACTGCCGAGCTTGGGGGCACACCGCCCCTCATATATATGCCCAAAATGGCCAGGGAATCTCAATATCACATAGTACTGTCAGAGCTGAAATGCCTATATCATATCCATCACAGTTTGGCCACCAAAGTGCCAAAAAAGTTGCCAACTTTTGAAAGCATCCCGCAGTTGACCTGTTTGTGCTTAAGGGTTTCCTTTCTTGACCGTTGGCACGCCCACCGTAACGGTGCCCACCTAGGTGCCCCGCCTCGTAACATTGAGATCACACACAGCGTCGAAGGTCCGTTCGGAGCATTGTAAAGTGGCCCCATACTAGTTTGGTGATGCAAGTGATGCTTGACTTTCCCTTTTGCAAAGGAGCATTGGGAAATGTGCTCCATCTGAGGCATTGGCAGGCCAAGCAAGCCTCTTTGTTGAATACTTCCATGTTTGTTCTCTTACTTGTGGATGTTTTGGACAAGTGTCCCTCCAAGACCTGAGCACGCAAAAAAAATAGAGCGGATTATTTGGGGGGGCGCACTGCGCACTTGAGGAAAAAGGCAGTGTTCAGGGCAACATTAAATCCATCGATCCAAATGGACCTTCAAATTCTTCTCATCTAGTCACCAGCGTGTGTCATGCTCTCAGCCACCCATGATGCCCGTCGAACCTTCTTGTGGTTCTTCCAGTGGGCACGCTGGCAGCTGCGGCTGCAGTAAACCACCTCAAGCGGCTGCAGGGCTACTCAGTGTTATACGTGAGACGCGTAGCTATCGGAATTGTCAGCCAACACACAAGCCTATACCTATGTACTTAGTGTACGCTCCTTAGAACAGCCACGGTCATTCAACCTAGCACGAGAATTCAAAACGCGTGACTACCAGGTCAACAATCCTTGAATCCTTGCTACATTTGTGCCACTCTCTCTTTCTCACATTCTAAAAGCCACGAGACCATGAAAGCTTGACCGAGTTCAACTGCCCTCTGGCTCCAAGACACGGATCTGCAGTTGCTGCAGGTTAAATCTGCATCTTCCCTGCTGCCACATGCAGCGCAGCACTGCAAAAGGCGCCCCATGGTGGAAAATTGAACCAAATCAGGTGTTGTAGTACTGGATTGCTCTTGACACTTGATCATATTGGAACTCTGGATGTATGACTAAGATTAACTGAGCCTTCTTAAAACAAAGCATGCAACATCTCAAGTTGTTAAGGTCCTGTGATCCCGACCCATGCAACTTCAGCAGCTGGGTCTGATTTAAAAAAAAACTGCGGAACGACCGAGCGACAACACATGTTGTTCGCATGAAGTTCACCATGTTTGCATGGTTGTTAGTTGGTTGTCTTCTTGCTTTTAGATTTCAGCACTTAGTTTATGAATCTAAGGCATCTGGGCATGTGTAGTCATCTGACTTGGACACCATCCGGTCACAACATGTTGATTCATGTCGGTGCCAATCTGATGGGCAACATGTATGTTTAAACAACCCATGACCAGGGACAACATTGGAACATATAAAATTAGGCCTATGAAAGGAGGGCAGCGGCAGGGTATCAAGCATCGAATTGACATTGAATAACGCAAAGGCGCCACAGTCAAGTTGTGGGGTATCAACCTCCCACCTGCAAGCTGTCCACCTCTATCATACCTGCCTATCCAACGGTCCCAAATCTGGGCCAAACAATCGTGACATGCCGTTCATTGTTCCACTTCACCTTTGGCGCCGTGCGACACCACTTCAACCGGTGCGACTGTGGTGCCGGCCACCGGGGAACCCGAACCGTCTGTCTCGGCCGACGCCGTTTGGCCCTCCAGGACCTGAGCGGCCAGCCGGCGGCGGAACATCGCAGGTCCTACTTGGGCCGAAAATTGGGAGCCGAAAAGTCTGGTTTCATCACCATCCAGTAGCTTTCCTCCTGGGTGCAAGGGCTTGGTAGGTGGGGGTAGCGCCAAGGTAGAGTGGAATTGCACGCCAAGAATGTGGTTGCGACATGTTGCTATATACACATGCACATTCCGTGCAATGAACTCTGACGAAAACCATCCAGCCATCCATCTCTGGAATCATCCAGCGCATCCGAACTTCAAACCCCATACCTCACACCATCATGCTGACCTCCCGCTATCTGATTGTGGTGTTCCCATTGTGCCAACCCACCAGCCGGCCGAACAGAGAACCAACAATGCTCCATTTCCTCTTTCCGGACGTCTGCACCAGAACGGTACACAAGGTTACATCCCACCACAGGCAACCTCACCTTCTCCCATGGCGTCAGCAATGGCTTGGTCCTGGGGGTAGGCTTCTTCCGCCTGCGAGCACGGATAAAACACAGTTGTGACGAACAGCATAAGTCTCAGAGGGATTCAAACAGGTTCAACATCGCCTAAAACTCGGGCATTTCATGGCGTTTCTGAGAGTCGTTGTGACCCAGTGTGGGACAGTGTTTCTCAAAACTGTGTATTGATTTGCTCATGTATGTTCTCAGTTGTTCAAGAAGACATTGCAATACGATTTTCTCTATGCAGTCCTTTACACGACCCTTGTATGCGTGAAACATATCTATATTGCATGGTTCATCATCATGGTTCTCTTTCTTGTGTTTGATATTCACATATTGATGTACATCATTTGGTGAGGGGCAACCAGCTCCCCTCCATGGCTCACTCTGGGGAAGCGGCCCGAAGTCTTCATTCCTCGGTCTCTGTGGGCTGCTTCGACAGCCCGGTCAAAGCATGGAGGTGTCAACAAAAATGAGGATCGAACATGTTGAGACTGAGTAAAGATGCAAAAAACAAACCAATGCCTTTAACGTCCAGTCAATCAAACTATGTATTGTACTACATGATGAGTATGCTTTTGGACAGGTGACATTCCACGCGTGGACGAATGGCTGTCCAGGAATATCTTGTCGTGGTATACAACCCGGCTACAGTTTGCACAGCCCTCTTCCATGCCCTTACGTTCTTTGCTCTGCTAAAGCCAGGATCTGCCTTGGATATTATATAGAGAGAGTTATATATGTACTCTAGAAAAAAAAGCAAACTCCTAAGACAATAGGTTCAAACACTTCGAAAACACATATGCCCAATGCCCACAGTGTAAATGTCTTGCCTACATCAGACCTCACTGCCTTACTTAGGTTTCAGACCTGGGCCGCCTCGTTGTCAACGATCGATTCCCTGCGGTCAAGAGGCGTGAGGATGTCCTGAGCGTAGCAACAGGCAGGATCCGGGCTGAGATCCACACTAAAACACCCCAACATGTTTGAGCATTAGGGTTGTGAAATGAAAGCAGTGTGCCCTGGCAACCCACAGGGTGGCTTGAGAATCTGAGATTCGTCTTTCTTCTCCAAGCGGATGTGGGACTTTGGTACTTAGCGCTTCAGTGACAAGGGTTCAGTTGGGTCAGTCATGGTCTCTGTTCCGTGGAACCCAGTGGTACCCAGGTGGCCCGGCAACCCCAGAGTGCCAAATCAATGCCCTCGCAGGCCTGCTGGCCAATGCTTCTTTCAGTTTGGTAGGCATTCGGCGAAGTCAACCATAAGAAATGAACACATGACCAGTTGAAGGTTGCATTCATTTCCTGCTGAAATTGTGACTCGAGATTGAATAATTGTTGCCAATGAATTGGGTGAGTTTGTCTCAACATGTGTATGGCCCGAGATGGCTCAACACACGGACAAAACAAACTTAACCCTGCGCGTCCAAGCGCCAGGCCAAGCCCCGCTCCCCGCTAATACGCCTAGTAAAATTAGAGAGCGGGACGCTGTGAAGGCCAGCGGGACGCTGTGAAGGCCAGCGGGACGCTGTGAAGGCC